ATGCTCCTCTCGATGAGTATGGTACGAAACAAGAACTAGAATTCTTCTTATACATATCTCCTCGTCTGCATAACAGAACGAAAATAGTGGAAAATTTTCCTACAAATTTTTCATGCTTATCTTGATGATTTGCGTTATGGTGTAAAAGGGTTGCTGAATGAACCAAAATACGGGCACTTGAGAGACTTACATAAAGCTATCAAGCTATCTGAACCGGCTTTAGTTTCATCATATGCCACGGTGACTAGTCTTGGAAGTAATCAAGAGGTTAGTCTGTTTTTTTTCCCTTGAGTCGAGGGTCTATTGGAAGCAGCCTCTCTACCTCTGAGGTAGGGGAAAGGTTTACGTACACTCTATCCTCTCCAGATCCACTATGTGAGACCTACACTCGATATGTTTTTCTTCTAACTCTGTTTACATTTTTTTGACCAACATAGGCTCATGTCTATAGATCAAAATCTGGAGCTTGTGCTGCTTTTTTATCCAACTATGACTCTAGATATTCAGTTAAAGTCACCTTTCAGAATAGGCCATACGATTTGCCTCCATGGTCCATCAGCATTCTTCCCGACTGCAAAACTGCTGTTTACAACACTGCACGGGTAATGGTCCTCTCTATAACAGTCATTCACTATAACAACATTTCTCTGTTATAGTCATGTTTTTTGTGGAACTGATCTTTCATGTTAAGGCTATATTATATGTTTTCTATAACAATATTTCGCTATAGCAGCCAAAAAGTACTGAGATAAATAATGCTGTAATTGATGCAGTTATAGAGAGGTTTTACTGTATAAGCATTCTGGGCAGAAGTTTTAATGTCTTCTGTGTAATGCTGCAGGTTAACTCCCGAAGCTCGAGCATAAAGATGACGCCTGCAGGTGGTGGATTGTCTTGGCAGTCATACAATGAAGAAACACCGACTGCTGATGACAGTGATACACTTTCAGCTAACGGACTATGGGAACAGAAAAACGTCACAAGAGATTCATCAGACTATCTGTGGTACATGACAGAGTGAGTAACTTTCATTTTCTTACTTTTTTCGAATGATTATATTTAGTTCCGTCTTTACTCAGACATATCTAATATCGTGATGACTTTTTTTGTTACTTTTTCCAGTGTAAATATAGCATCTAATGAAGGATTTCTAAAGAACGGAAAGGATCCTTATTTCACTGTTATGTCCGCTGGTCATGTCTTGCATGTTTTCGTCAATGGCAAACTATCAGGTAGCAGAAACAACACTATTTTGGGATTATGGCAAATGCTTTTTCCTAACAAAGTACTCTCTCAGTTCCAATTTGTCTGACTTGACACGAAATTTAAGAAAGTAAATTTGAATCTTGTGGCCTTAAACATGCCGCGTGAAAAGTTAGGATAGTAAAACAAACAAATTGAAACGGACGGAGTACATCTTTTTACGTCTATTCCTATTTTCCTAATTTCTCTGTCCTTGAATTGTTGTAGGAACTGTTTATGGGACATTGGATAATCCAAAACTTACATACAGTGGCAATGTGAAGTTAAGAGCTGGTATTAACAAGATTTCTCTGCTCAGTGTTTCCGTTGGTCTCCCGGTTAGTTTTCTATTTCCTGTTTCTCCGATCCTTTATTAACAGCGATAACTGAACTGTTAGAGTCATTTTGTTTTAGTATAACCTATGGTTTTAAATACATTTCAGAACGTTGGCGTGCATTATGATACGTGGAATGCAGGAGTTCTAGGTCCAGTTACGTTGAGCGGTCTCAATGAAGGGTCAAGAAACTTGGCGAAACAGAGATGGTCTTACAAGGTATGTTAACTAACTAATTGCTTCTCTTCTCTTCCTAAAGCCTGATCTTCGTATAACTTTGATATGCTTTTCCTTGAGCTGAGGGTCTATCGGAAACAACCTCTCTACCTCCCAAGGTAGGGGTAAGGTCTGCGTACACTCTACACCTCCCAAGACCTTACCTGTGGGATTACACTGCATATGTTGTTGTTGATACCTGAATAGTCTATAATTTGCTTGTTCATAGGTTGGTCTAAAAGGCGAATCGTTAAGTCTTCACTCCTTAAGTGGGAGTTCTTCTGTTGAATGGATTCGAGGTTCACTAGTGGCTCAAAAGCAGCCTCTGACTTGGTACAAGGTAAAATTCCTATTGGTATAACGTCTATAACGTCAACAAAACTACATATCAACATGTGTTTATCGATTTTATGATGTTGAATAACATGTTGTAACGCGTAGTTAATAGACTAATACCTTTTCCAGGCTACATTTAACGCGCCTGGAGGAAATGAACCACTAGCTTTAGACATGGCAAGTATGGGAAAAGGTCAGATATGGATAAATGGTGAAGGCGTAGGTCGCCATTGGCCTGGATACATAGCACAAGGAGACTGTAGCAAATGCAGTTATGCTGGAACGTTCAACGAGAAGAAATGTCAGACTAACTGCGGACAACCTTCTCAGAGATGGTAAGCAATTTCCATAATTCCAACAACCTTTAGTGGAGTTGTGGGACTAGATCAATTCCTACTTGTTTACAACAAAGAGTTAAAAACCGTTTAGATATTAGGAACATGTTTTATCCCCTTATGTTCCATAGGATCACACGAGGTAGAGGTAAGGTCTGCTTGCACTCTACTTTCCCCAGACCTCATCTGCGGGAATACACTGAGTATGTTGCTGTTGTTGTTCCATAGGATCACACAAATTAACCAAACACAAGATGTTTGAAGAAATGTGGTACTTTTTACCTTCAACTTGTTTTGAGAAACTTCGCGAAATTGTTAATTTCAGGTACCACGTTCCACGATCATGGCTGAAACCAAGTGGAAACTTGTTGGTAGTATTTGAAGAATGGGGCGGTAATCCAACAGGAATTTCTCTAGTCAGGAGATCAAGATAAAGAACTCGAAAAGGTATACTTTTCGCCTTTGACAACACTGATCTTGATTCAAAATTATGTATTTCGCGTCACGTCTAAATCCATAAATTCTCTATATATATTCATATTAACTGTTACCATTGTTTTCTACTATGACAGTAAACTTGTTCAGTAAATATGGTGCTTGAATTCGCGCCGAAAAATACATACAGGAAGCTAACAATGAAGGCTATAGTTTGCAAATTGCAGCTGAATAAAGCATTTGAAGAAAAAGAAATATTTGATTAAAAGGTATATAAATTTACAGAGAGTTTTCTTGATTCTCTGTAAAACTTTGGTTTATAAAGTTTATACAGAATTCTGTTATTTGGATTATGAGATTGAAGAAAATTGTACAGCTTCCAAATACTATTAGAATACAAATAAGTTTCATGTAACTATATACAATTACTACAATTTGTGTATGTGAAATATCAATACAAGTTATATCAAGGAAGTCAATTTTTCAGTAACCAGATGTTTCAGGTTGGAGTTCTGAGGTTTGAGTCGCTTTTAGTTTAAGTGTTTTAACCCTCAAAGTGAGATTTTCCAGTGCGGATCCAATTATACTAGTTGGGCTCCAAAGCATGTACCAAACACAGGATTGAGAACCAAAAATGAATAAATAAGATCTAAACTATAACATTTGTTGTTGTTTTTGTTAAGAGCCTTGTATCATTTGGTTTTTACATTAATGTTTTGAATTCTATTGTAGATTTGTTTCATTTGAGGTTGAAAGCCAGTATAGCAATCACAACTCCATGAATATCATTGTATATCCTATATTTGTGTTGGTGGGAAATAACAGATATTCTAGTTGACATCACAGTTATAAAAGAAAAATGAAAATCGGTAGTAGGATAATGAACGGAACTTACTCACACTCCTTGTTTACACCAAGTTTGTCACGTGTTTGTACATCATTTTTTAACATTTACTATGATTAATTGACATGCATGAATTCTTACCTCGTTAAATCATTTAACTAGAGTAAATTTAAATGCTTCGGGTTAAATTGCTTGCCAAATGAGGAAAAAATGAAAAAAAAGAGGTGTAACGCTTATTTTATTATTATTATTATAAATGTCAATTATTCTTATTAAAAAATGTCATTTAATTTATTTTTCAAATTCAAATGTTTTGCTCTTAGGATTTTAAACGTGATTTTGAAATTTTAGGCATAAATATTTTATTATTATAAATGAAGAATGATGGACAAACTTCAAATCCTAATACGCAATATAAAAGAATTTACTATGTATTTGACTTTGAAAAGAACATTCATTATTTACTTGATATGAAAACAAAAAATAATACTTACCATGTTGGCATAAACATGTATTACTATATAGACCAAAAATAAAATAAAATTATATTACTATGAACACAAAGTTATTTCAATTATTATTTTACCAAAGATGTATAATTAATTTATTACCAAAATTAGAGATTTAAATTTATTACCAAAATTAGAGATGTATAATTAATTTATTACCAAAATTAGAGATTTAAATTTATTACCAAAATTAGAGATGTATAATTAATTTATTACCAAAATTAGAGATTTAAATTTATTACCAAAATTAGAGATGTATAATTAATTTATTACCAAAATTAGAGATTTATTTTAATTCATCTTTGGAGATGTTTCAATAATCTTTTTGCCAAATTTGAATACTACTAATCCATCAACTTACCCCATAATTATGGCTAACAAATCACATTTATAGATTATTTCACTCTACTCTTTTAACTTTTAATGGTCAATTTTGGTTCCTCAATTCAGTCCTTATGATATCTAACTAAACATATTTAAACTTCAATTAATCAAAATATACACTTTTGATCCAGTTACTCGTGAATTTTCAAAAAATCATATCACTTAATAACCTTTATAAGAATCAAAATAAGAATTTATCAATAACCGAGGGACTGAAAGTATAAATTATGTAAAAAAAATACTATGATTACCCTCCTATATTATATATATATATATATATATATTTGCTTGTTGCTCAAGTAGTTTCATACTTACAAACAAAACAAGTTCTTTGTTTTCACAACATTTTCATTATTTTTCGATTGATTGGTCTGAGGTTATCGATAAAAAAGATTTGTCTAAGTTTGCCTCTAAAATGGTGTCTCAAAAGCCCAAAATTGTTATAATTGGGGCAGGAATTGCTGGTCTAACAGCAGCTAAAAAGCTCTACACAACACAAAACTCAAATGAACTATTTGAGCTTTGTGTTGTAGAAGGTGGAAACAGAATTGGTGGAAGAATTTTCACTACTGAGTTTTGTGGTGATAGAGTTGAAATCGGTGCAACTTGGATTCATGGAATTGAAGGAAATCCAATATACAAAATTGCTCAAGAAATCAATGGATTTGAAACTGATAAGCCATGGGATAGTATGGGAGGTAAAGTCGATAAAAAAGTGACTATAACAGAAGATGGACATGAGGTACATTCATCCTTTGTTAACTCGGTATCAAATTTTTTCAGTAATCTGTTGGAGTTTTCATCAGATGAAGGGGATTTTGATGGTGGGGTTGGTAGAAAGATTGTTGAAAGCTTGAATCTTGAAGAAAATGGTGGTGTTGATAAGATAAGTATGGGTTCTTATCTTAGAAAAGGGCTCAAATTTTACTGGGGTTTAAAGAAAGATCAAGAAAATGTCGAAAGCTTCAATATTGATTCTGATGGTATTGAAAAAGATCAAGAAAATGTTGAAAACTTCAATCTTAAAAGTGGTGGTGTTGAAAATGATCAAGAAAATGTTGAAAACTTCAATCTTGAAAGTGGTGGTGTTGAAAATGATCAAGAAAATGTTGAAAGCTTCAATATTGACGATAGTGGTATTGAAAAAGATCAAGATAATGTTGAAAGCTTCAATCTTGACGATGGTGGTGTTGAGAAAGATCAAGAAAATGTAGAAAGCTTCAATCCTGACGATAGTCGTATTGAAAAAGATCAAGATAATGTTGAAAGCTTCAATCTTGAACATGGTGGTGTTGAAAATGATCAAGAAAATGTTGAAAGCTTCAATATTGACGATAGTGGTATTGAAAAAGATCAAGATAATGTTGAAAGCTTCAATCTTGAACATGGTGGTGTTGAAAATGATCAAGAAAATGTTGAAAGCTTCAATATTGACGATAGTGGTATTGAAAAAGATCAAGATAATGTTGAAAGCTTCAATCTTGAACATGGTGGTGTTGAAAATGATCAAGAAAATGTTGAAAGCTTCAATATTGACGATAGTGGTATTGAAAAAGATCAAGATAATGTTGAAAGCTTCAATCTTGAACATGGTGGTGTTGAAAATGATCAAGAAAAAGTTGAAAGCTTCAATCTTGACGATGGTGGTATTGAAAAAGATCAAGAAAATGTTGAAAGCTTCAATCTTGACGATGGTGGTATTGAGAAAGATCAAGAAAATGTTGAAAGCTTAAATCTTGAAAGTGGTGGCATTGAGAAAGATGGAGAAAATGTTGAAGTTTTTGAAAATTGGAGTAGAAAAGCACTTGAAGAAGGTATTTTTGCTATGTTTGAGAATATACATAGGCATTATTCATCAGCTGGTGATTTAGGTACTTTAGATTTCAATGAAGAAAGTGAGTATTGTAATTTTCCTGGAGATGAAATAACAATAGCCAAAGGGTATTCATCTGTTGTTGAATCTTTGGCTTCTGTTTTACCACCTGGTTTGATCCAACTAGGTCGAAAAGTTTCGAAAATTGAATGGCAATTGGAAAATAGTGATGGTAATAAGCCAGTGAAGTTGCATTTTAGTGATGGATCAGCTATGTATGCTGATCATGTCGTTGTTACAGTCTCATTAGGAGTCCTAAAACAAGGAATTCGCGAGGACTCGAGTCTTTTTAGTCCTCCCCTTCCTAAGTTCAAGACTGAAGCAATTGCAAGACTTGGTTTTGGTGTTGTTGATAAGGTGTTCTTACAACTTAGCCCAACTCATCATGAAAATGTTGGCTATGATGGGTTGAATTTCCCTAACATGATGATGGTTTTTCATCAGCCAGACTCGAAACTGAAGAACCCGAAAATCCCCTTGTGGATTAGGAGGACTACACTTACACATCCAGTTTATCCAGAGTCAAGGGTTGTGGTATCATGGTTTGCAGGTGAAGAAGCTATGAAGGTTGAAACTCTTGATGATGAGGAGATCATCGAGGGGGTCTCGATAACAATGTCAGAGTTTCTAGCAAACACAGAGCATTTCAAGAATTCCATCAAGTTTAGTAAAGTTTTGAAGTGCAAATGGGGTACTGATCCATTGTTTTTGGGATCATATACTCATATAGCTGTTGGATCAAGTGGAAATGATTTGGATGCTATGGCTGAACCATTGCCTAAAGAGATTAGTGATGATAAAAATTCGAAGAAGAGTCCTCGACTTCAAGTTTTATTTGCAGGTGAAGCAACAAGTAGAAATTACTATTCAACAACTCATGGTGCTTATCTTACTGGTCTTAGAGAAGCTAATAGGCTTCTTGAGCATTTTCAATGTGTTGATGTCTGAAAAAAGATTGTTCTTGTTTGTTTGTTTGTCTTGTTATTGTTTTTCATATTCATTTGGAATTGGGTGTTTGTTATACTCTTTCTGTATGATGGGAATTTGAAAGAGTAAAGGGAACTAAAGAAGCTTTTCATTTTGTATTGTTTTAATTCCTTTCTATAATTTGATGGTTCTTGCTTTCTTTAACTTTATTGACAAATGGTGGGAGTGTTTCCTCTTAACCAGAGGTCTTGGGTTCGAGCCCTGGATATGGAAAAAATCATGTTGGGAGCGTCACCCCCGAATGGGCCCTGCAGAGCGCGATCCGAATTTAGTTGGAGCTCCAAAGTGGGCTCCGAACACCGGGTGGGAAACCAAAAAAAAAACTTTATTGACAAATGAACATGAGGATATAGTTGGAAGTTTTTTAAAAGTATATATTTGGGAAAACACCTAAAAAAAATCCCAAATAGCCCATTTCCTCTTATTACGATCTTTAACTATGCATGTATCCTATTGCTCTCCTATTCTATTGTAACATATCATTTACCCCTTCAAACAATTGATGTCAAAGTGAGTGTGATACACATATACAACATATACAATGTATTTTTTTTTTGTGACAAGGGAAACCCACATCTGCTACTTTTGGGTGCGCACAAGGACAAACCCCAGCTCCTATGCAATAGCTTGCAAACCATACAGGAGAGGTAACCCGTACTAAGGTGTGTACAAGGGAAACTCCTGGTCCTATGCAATAGCTCGCAACTAGACATGAGAGGTAACCAATACTAAACAAGCTTAGTATGACGAGCTTGACCTAGAAGACAAATTTCTTGCTTTTGCTAGCAAGGAATTTCAAACTTGAGACTTATCCAGTGTAATTTCACTAGTTCATTTCAATTTTTGAAAAAAATAAAACTAATAATTTTCTTTTTAATTATTCCTTGTCCCCTTTGTCACAAAATTAAGGTACAAAATAAGACAATGATAACAGTCACTTATTTAAAGTTCTAAAATCTGTCTACTATTTGCAAGATTTGCAGCATGTAGTAGAAACCATTTTATTACTTTACACTAACAAATTATATCTATGGTCAGACATCTCTATATCTTATTATAACCGATTTAAGTGTATTTTGAAATTGATTTTACATGTTATGTTATATTCTATGTTCTCTATAACAACATTTCGCTATAGCAACCAAAAAAAGTATCTAAATAAACAACGTCATTATAGACAAACTTCGACTGTATAGGTTTTCTGTTGGTAAACCCAAGCAAAGGATCCTTATCCTTGCCTCAGGAGGTAAAGAGGTTGTTTCCAATAAACCTGTGGCTCAAGAAAAAACATAACAAAGGGATACACTCATTTTTGTTCTATAAAGTAATTGATCATAAGAAGTATTTTCTTGTACCTCAGAAAATTTTCAACTAGTTCTCCAATGCTTGCCATTAAGTTATAAGATAAGTCATATAAAATCACAGCAGTACTCAAAACCGTTCATGTAGAAACATTAGTAAAAAACTACATATCTCTATCCATGTGGATGGATCAAACATATACGCCGGAAGCAAGTAGCAAAAACAAGGATCCAAAACCCTGCATGAGATGCGGTGAGGAGTCAGCACAAGCAACTAGCAAAAACAACAGATCAAATCACTATAGTGTACGTACCAAGAAAACAGACGCTACTGTCCCTGTTACAAGCTCCTTTGCAAGACTGCGGTATTTCCTCGGAGAAGTAGCTTCATAGCTGTCACACATTCATAGGTTTTGTTAGAAGAAGAAAAGACAACAGCACTTGTAGAACCCGCAAAAAAGAAAAGGCAGTAAACTGTTATTCTTTAACATTGTAAAGTTATAGTCTGATGAGTAACCCGAGAATATTTTTTATTCGTTGAAGTATTATAATTTAATGATTTTGGAGAATTGCCATGCTTCATGAATTATATCTCAGAAAGGAATTTCGGAGAATTGTATCTCAGCAAAGTTGGATATCCATGTTCACTATGTAGACTATGTACTCATCAAGAAGTATGTCACAGAACAGATACCTCCTGAAAGTGATGTCTCTCAAATATCTTAACTGCCCGAGGGCAAGCTCTTAACCTTGCTTGTTTGCTCTAAGGTAATAGAAAAAAGATTTCTTTTACCACTTTTTCCTATAGGTCATATCTAAGAGTAGCAACTCTAAAGTCGTATAGACTTCTCTTTGTTTTCTTTTTTGACTGTAATTTTATATAGACTTCTAAAGAGTGATTACTTACAAGGTAGGCAGCGTCAAAGCCAAAGAATTTTGAAATCATGTGGAGGAAGACATACAATTAAGACTACTTTAGCTATAAGCCCTCAAGCCGTAATTGTGACTTGAACTTTTCATCTTAAAGCTTCACATCAAATACAAGTGGAGAGTCTAATTGTACCTTGGAACAAGTTCCATGATTTCTCTCAAAAGGAAAAGGAAAGGGCTTAAAGCTTTTTAAGGGGAAAAAGGAAAATAAATCCATCAGGTTGCTTAATCTATCCATACTTACTCCCCACATCCTTCCACCTCGAGAAGAAGGTAAAACTATCTCACTCTGCCTGGTTAGACAATAAATCCAATACAAGCATGTGACATTTTTGAAGAGTCCGAGCAACATAGGGAATGATCTACATCCCCTAAGATTTCTTATCCTATTTGATGTAAACTGTTCTCAAACTTCCATCATTAACAAACAGCTACAACAAGCATGCCTAAACCCCAAAGCTATTCTAACACAATCAGCCACCAAAGAAAAATTTCTTCAACAAAAGTAACATGTTCCTAATAAACATTGTACTTCATATTAGATAACCAAATTAACAATTTCATGCTATTAAATTCCTTACTCACAAAATGCAACTAAATCTTCAACAGTCTATTTCGTTCAAAGATAAAATAAAAAATCAACTGCATTTCAACAAACTGACAAAGCACCCTTTTCGCACAGATGTTGATACTATCAATTATCAAATATCAATCAACTATGACTCAGATACTCTCCTTCAGTTATAGCAAGGAAATTCTCATGAACTGTATACACGTAGCATAAGCAAATATTTGTATGTAATCTACCAAAAAACTATAATAGCGGGAGGAGACAATGAACTTGAAATGTCACCTACGGAACTTCTTTTCCTTACTTCTATTAGGAAAGTCATTTTCCTTATTGTTCAGCAACTTGTTGTCCTAGAGAAAATATTTTCCATAATACTTTGACCAACCAAACGTGAAAAAATTGGAAATTCATACCAAAAACACCCGTATTTTCTCCCTCTATAACTCGAACACGCAACCTTACTGTTGCAACCCCTCTTCTCTGCCAAACACACCCTTAATCTAATTAGATCCACTAAAGAAAACCCTCAAAATCACTCTAATTCAGGTCAATTTCATTCCAACATTGATCAATAAGCATGAAAAAAATTGCAAAAAATATCAAAATCCACCTTTTTATGAGCAACATTGATAAATAACACATCTTTTTAATGCATGAAAAAATTGCAAAAATATAAAAAATTCACCATTTTTATGAGCTTGAAAAAGATCAGATCGAGGACTTACATGAAGAATGAAGCAGTTACAACAAGACCAATTGCAAGCATGAACACTGCTAGGGTTGGGTACCACGCATCAGGTACTGGACTCGAGATCGGTTTTGCTGAATGAGCCTTTCACAAGAAAAATTCCAAAAAAAAATACAACAAAATCACATCAAAATTTTCAAAAAATTCACTGAATCTACAAGAAAAACAACAAAATTAAACAAGGAATAAGAAATTGCATACCATTTCTTCAATAAATTTGAGAGAAAATCAGATGATCTCGCGTAGACTCGAACTGTTGAAAGCCTCTGCTACGGCTGTGAATCCGTCTTTTAAGTAGTCAAGTAAGAAAGGAGTGGCAAATGTTCGGGTCGGAAGTGGACGGGTCAAAAATGGGTTAAACAAAGTAAAATATTGAGAAAAGGCCCAAAATAGTCCCTCATCTTTGGATTAAGACTCAAAGTCATCCTTGAGTTTTCACATGGAGCATTAATAGTCCATCATGTTTGCAATATTGGTGCACTTTTGGTCCTCCTTCAAAATTTTTGCCTATTTTTTAACATTGATTTTATTCATAATTTATGTATGGAATGTTTAATCGTCATTTTATATATTTAGTAGAAATAATAACTCCGTGTGAGAGATTGTGAGAAGAAAAACACCTTGTTTTGATTAGTAGAAATCGTATTGCAGGTAAAGTCGAGAGGTTCATCACGACGATTTCACGTGCAATAGTACAAATTTTTCTTCTCTTGCAACGTCATATGTTAATATGTTCTTAGTTTAACTGTAGTAATATTTCTACTGAACACAACAAGGTGTTATTCTTCTCATCTTTTCTCACATAGAGTTATTATTTCTACTAAATATATAAAAAGACGATTGGACATTCCTTACATAAAATTGTGGGAAAAAATAATGTTAAAAAATAGGCAAAAGTTTAGGGGAGGACCAAAAGTGCACCAATATTGCAAACATGAGAGACTATTATTGCTCCATGTGAAAACTCAAGGATGACTTTGAGTCTTAATCCAAAGATGAGGGACTATTTTGGGCTTTCTCTCTAAAATATTTGATTACCAATATTTACGAATAAACACAAGCTAAAAGTTAAATAAGTTTAGATTCTCAAAAAACAAGAACTCATACAAAAAAATTAAAAATAAATAAAATATTAATAATGTGAATATTCATATTGTTTATTTTGATATTTACTTTTTAGTAGATAATATATTCATTTATAAAAATCAATATTTTATGAGTGATGGTTACTTGTTTTTTAAACATTTTGTTAGCCCTAAGGATACTTCAGTGGCATAATTATTGTATAATAGTGTGTTTCAATTCTATTGTACGTTAATTATAATAGTGTGTTTCAATTCTATTGTACGTTAATTGAAGTATAATGCTAGAAGAAGTGAATCTTGAATTTCGAATATGGAAAGTAAATTAAGTCAAATAGTTTTTGTAGGAAAAACATGTAAAAATTATTGTGGTAGCTTAAAAAAGTTATTCTTGAATTTCGTATATAAAAAATAAATTTATATCAAGAGAGTATTATTGTAAACTCTTAACTAAAAATCTCGAATTCAAACTCCGATATGAAAAAAATCTTTGGTAGGAAGCATTTATCCCTGAATGGAGCCCTACGCAGTACAAGTCTGGAATAGTCGAACTCTAATGTGAGTACCAGACACTGAATTGGAAACAAAAAAAAAGTGTTTCAAAACATTGATAAACCACTATTTTTGCAACCATGAAAAAAAGAGTTTTGAAGACATTAACAGGAATGTGATTGGAACATAATATAATAGACTCACAGTTGTAATTCATAAAGGATCCAAATATTTTTAACAAACAAAAAACAATTCAGTGGACAATAAAGTTACAATTGCTTCAGGAAAAAGAAAGAGAAGAAGTTACAATTGTGTATTACGTTATATCAAATCAAATAGTTGAAGAAAACTGACAAGCTCATACATGAAAAACTACCTCAATAGCCTAACTGACTGACTGAGTTACATACATGAAAATTGCAGCAATGTTGTTGCTGCCCGGTTAGGCGTTTACAACAGCATCCTGTTACACGACAACAATGTTTTCAGATAATCATATAGAGACTGTTCAAGCATAACACGAACACGTGCACGTAAAGAATTTGCAGATACTTGCAGTTAGATAGAAGCAGGGAGCAAAGAGAACCTCAAGGAAATGTTGAAGTTGCATGAAATGAAGAACACGAGAGAAAGAGCTCGCTATAGTGTTTGCATATTTCTCGGCTATCCTATTGATTTGGATCGTATTCTTGAAATCCGTTCTTGAATCTCTCAACCATTTTAGTTTCTTCTTCTTTATCAACCTTACAATTTCGCCAATCAGCTCTATCTGCTATATTCAACAAGCCTGCTAAAACCTGTGGGATATTCATGCAGTATTACGTCAGTTACTAAAGCGAAATTATAGCTCTCAAGACATATTTTACATAAAAAAGGATGCAAACTAAGCGTTTATCACCTCTCGAAGATTTTAGCTAAATGATACAGTACTAGATAAAGGTGGACGCATCTTACCTCCCGACCAAATTGAGCTGGGAATTTTTCATTCTCCTCAATAACATGTGACAATATATCACCTCCAGGAACTTCAACATAAAATAAGCTGCAACTTCTGTCAAACTGTGTCCGCAATGCTTGTCTTCCTTCTGCAGTAAAAAGAAAGCACCAACATGTCATCTCTTAGACTGAATTGCTCTCACGCAAGACAATCTGTGATAGTTAAAAGGCAAAACAATGAAAGCACCAGTGGAGTATATTCAAATCCATGAGGTTTTCTCCACAACCATGCTTACCCACATTTCCAATTAGCAGAGACTAGGACAAGAAAAGAATTTAATGAGGAAATCAGAGGTTTAGAATTTAGCATCTGTACTGCTACCTAGTATAACAATGGTTAGAATTATCGGTTGAGTAGAACTTGCAAGATAGGTCTACATAATGTAGGGAGTAACCTATGCATCCAAATGTGCTGGGCATATATAAATATGGTAAATTATCAAAAGAAATTGTTCACATCCAAAGCTTCTCAAGAAAATGATATTCAGTTTTATAGTCTTTTTTTTTTTTTTGGTTTTGGTATTAAGACAGTGGTGGAGATAACAACCTTCCTAGGGACATTTGAAGAAACTACTCATTTCAGTCTGTATACATTACCAGGAAATTAAAGGATAACGACAAGTAGCTAAAGCTGAGGCATGAATAACAACTGAGCTGTTTTTTCCACATTATTTTTTCTACCTTTACCATTTTTCTTTCTATTATCTGGTTGGGGAATGTGGCAGGGATTCAGGGTTTCATACAATAAAGTGAACATACCTTTAACCATAGTAAGCTTGAATCCCAATTTGTCAGCAGCCAAGTTAAAAATATCTCGAACCGCAGATGCCCTGGACGAGGGAATAGGAACAACCTACAATAGACACAAAGAGTGGAGGTTAAGATAATGGTAAATAAGCAATAATAAAGAAGAAAAAGTAATGGATTAAAGAACTGTGACATGAGACAATTACACAATTGTGCATAATATTATTAATGTTAAAAAAAGAGATTGATCTATTAAGACAAGGCAGCTGCAGTTTGATCCAGGTGTACAATCAAATGCATACTTCTAAAAGGTGCACTTAAGGCTCTGCTTTTTGAATGTCTTTATTGTAAGCCCTGCATGACGAGTGTCAATCATGTTTGATCCCTGTTTGAATCTTTCTTCTCAACCACAGTTTAGGTAAACCATACTGAAGTTTTAACAAGTTTCTACAAACTGAACATTTTTTTTTCCCCGATTAAGTATTTTATTCTTACATATTTCTTTGATTTGATCTCTCACTCGTAATTTGAATATAAATCCTGTTAGCCAAATGCTTTGTGCTTATTCAGAGTTCCTAAGGCTAGAGATCACAAATAGAACATGTTGGATCTGCTACATAAAACCTTTTTCCACAAGTACAAAACATGTAGAGTAAGGTATGTTTACAAACCAATTTTTAAGGACAGAATGGTGGTATAGACATATCCTCTTTTTTTTTTAATAATATGCAGCACAGGAATACATTCATAGCAATACATGAATGTAAATTTTTCCATACCTGAAGATTGGCATGACTTCCTCGCTTAAATACCCACTCAAAGAAAACTGCTTCCTTCCCTTGCTTTTTGAAGTAAGCTTTGAAGCTGCTTTGAAGTCGTTCCAGTTCCTTCTCACATTCCAGTGGCAGAGATAATGTATTGGGTGTATGTTCAATTGGCATAATTAGCACATGATCAGGTGTTAAAGGTCCTTTAGCAAGTGCACAGTAGTAATATTCTCCGACACTAGTGATGAGATGTGACTCAACGTTCGGGCTTGACAAACAAAACCAGCATTCTTTTGACCTGAAAAACAGTTAAAGTTACCACAAAGCTTATACAAAAGAAAGGGAGCACTAATGAAGATCACAAGCCAGTAAATATTGACACTGCAACGTCATCAAGAAAAATCAAGTAGTTCGACAAATATTAACCTGTTAGAGCTTGCTGCCCTAGATGCTGATCTATCACCTTCTTCCTGCAAACTGTGCTTGAAGTTGCAATCAGGACCTTTTTCACATTTTCCCTTGTTGAGAAAGTCAAAACACACACCTCTTGAGTATTGTTCCGAAGCTTCTTCATCATGTCTAAATTGGCACTGGTTTCCTCTTGGACAAGAGCCAGAAGAGACAAATTTAAAGCAGAGTCTGTCACCACCACCATCTCCATGTTTCTGCTTTTTCTTGGATACATCATACCTCCAATACTGTGACTCAGAAGTACTATCACCGGGCCTCTTTGTCGCTCCATCGGGTGGGGCTGCTTTGTCAACATTTGTATATGGACATAAAGTAGTGTTTGGTGGCTTTGCACTAAGCTCAGTTTTTGACATTGTTGATGCTGGAGTGGGGGATATCGCATGAATGAATTTCTGCAAAGAACTCATGCATAAAATGAGGATTCAAAATGATATAAGGGCTGAGGTAGACCTAAAATCACGTGGAGAGAAGTTGTCATTTAAAAACCGAGAAATAGATGCAGACTTAGCTAAGAAGATATGTTCTGCATTTTTCAGCAGAGAAGTCTTTCATTTTAGTTATAAACTTGTATGCCATTTAAAAGAAGTGTGAAGTTCAGGAAATTTCTAGCTTTGCTCTAATTCACTTTATATCTTATAATGGCGTTTCAAGAATTGAAAACTAGATCAGAATTCATCAGAAAAATGAATAGATTTAAGAGTTTCTATGGCATTTTGAGTATATATAATCATTATTAAGTTCAACCATAACTACATGG